ATTCAGCATGACTTCCCGGTCAAAATCCTGGTTATGATTAATAGTAGCTTCTTGAATGGTGTTGATGTTTCCATACGACGTGGTTCTTTGGCCTACGAGCTGCAAGTAGCTTGTACTTCTCGAACATGGCCTGTACGGCTGCCATTGCCTTTAGCCGATCAGCCTCCGGGTTGCCCATCGTGAGCCTGGAACAGTGTAGAATGTTACGAGTATCTTTGGTAGACCATTTGGAATGTCGGAAGGCTCGCCGTCTACACGTACGCTATCGGCTTGGTCGGGTGATGCTGGGGATGGATGATCGACGTGAAGCTCCACATTGCCTCGGCTTGTCTACTCGAGCGTCGCATCCGCGCCTGCGATGCTTGCTCAAGCCATGGCGCGCTCACAGATGCCACATCTCCTTTTCGCAGCATGCCAGTACAATGACTCTGTCCATGTGGGCGTCGGTGCCGTGGCTGCCTCAGATACTTTCTTGTGGTGTTTCAAGTATGTGGTTCGTGCCCACCTGTTCCACCTGTTTCACGAACAGAGCCACCCGCGTACGGCCAAACTTCGTCATGACCCGAATACACTTCGGCGCTTGCCACCAATGACCACAATTCGCGACTTGTTCTATTTCTAGTGTATCATTAGATGAGGGTCTGCAGTCCAAGCTGAACTAGACCCTTCCCCTCTATTCGTTCGCTGCGCTGCTTTTAACCAGACAGCTGCCGCCGATTACTTGTGTCCACATCTCCATTCGCTGCTTCGGGGTTCTTGCGACTGGGCTGGACAACCATCGCACATCTTCGACATGGGCTCAGACACGACTCCGGTACCGCCGGCACTGCGGAAGAGGGTGTTGAAGGTGCTGTTCATCTCGCTGCTGCTAGACTTGGTACGTCATCCCCGTCGCGTGTAACCGCTCGCGTGGGCTGACCCTGACAGATATCCTTTACATTCATCCTCCCGCTGTTCCCCAAACTCATCGAGTTCTACCGTAACCATGAAACCGGAGACCCGAACACGATTCTCTCCAAGATCCTCGCCGGCCTCAATGCGTACAAGAACTCGTTCGCGAAACCCATCAACTCCCGCTACGACATAGTCCTGCTCGGCGGCGCACTCGGATCGCTCTTCTCGCTGTGCCAGGCAGTCGCGTCTCCTTTTATCGGAACACTCTCAGACAAATATGGCAGGCGCACAGCTCTTCTGTGGTCCATGGTGGGCAACATCTTCAGCGTGGCGCTCTGGGTTGCAGCCACCGACTTCCGCACCTTCCTTGCCAGTCGCGTGGTGGGAGGACTGAGCGAGGGCAACGTCCAGCTTGCTATGGCCATCGCGACCGACATCAGCGACGACAGCCAGAGAGGCTCGACCATGGCGCTTGTGGGCGTGTGCTTCAGCATCGCTTTCACCTTCGGGCCGGCGCTGGGCGCATACCTGTCTACACTGCAAGTCATGGACAAGAACCCGTTCGCCATGGCAGCGGGCTTCTCCCTGTTCTTGATCGTCTCAGAGACCATCTACCTCTACGTCAGCCTCCCAGAGACGCTACCATCGGCGAGCAGGGCTGAGAACGGCACCACGAACGGGCATGCGAAAGGCAGCGAAGCACCAAAACCTCGCGGCCGAACGAACTCGCACTTCCTACTCAACGCTACGCACTTCACTTTCATCCTATTCTTCAGCGGCATGGAGTTCTCGCTACCCTTCATGACATACGACCTCTTCTCCTACCAGGCCAAGGACTCTGGCCGGTTGCTTGGTTTCATTGGACTAGTCGCGTCTCTCCTCCAAGGATCCGTAGTGCGGCGGATGCACCCTCTCAAAGTGGTCCAAATGGGAGTGGTAAGCTGCACCATCGCCTTCCTCATGCTCGGAAGAGTCCAGACGCAGGGCGCACTATACGGGGCCGCCGCGCTTCTTGCCGTAACAAGCGCGACGGTCGTTACCGGCCTCAACAGTCTCTCGTCATTCGAGGCGAGCGCCGATGAGCGAGGCAACAAGCTGGGCAACCATCGGAGCTTCGGTAAGCCAAGACTCCCATCTCCATCGGAACATCTGCTAACGGATGTCAGGTCAAATCGGACGTTCCCTCGGACCCCTCATCTTCTGCACCCTCTACTGGTGGGCGGGCCGCGAGACGGCATATGCGACCGGAGCTGCCGGCATGGTCGGAGTGGGCGCATTGGTGTTTGGAGGACTTAAGGTGCCACCGGGCACGGAGAACATTGGCAAGAAGGAGAAGAAGGCAGTCAAATAGGACAATGGCCGTGTTGTGCCAAGTTCATGTTGAAAACATTGGGAAGACGCGTTTTACGATCGAGAGATTTCGAGCCGTTGTATAGCTGCGTCGAATGACACCCAGAGGTCAGCATATACATTTCGCAGATAAGAAAGGAAATATAGCTGTCATCCGTATGCAAGGGTAGCCTCATTCTGATACCATCGTGGTTATCGTTGGTACATTGACCGTGATCTTTAGCCGTCTCAGCCACAAGCCTCTGCCACAGCAAACACCACCGTCATAAGTCAAACTTCGCTCCACGCCTCGCAAAGCTTTCCCCGAGAGACAAGCAATCGCTGTACAAATGTCCGACGCGCTAGGTCACCCCCGCACTCACTACGCGTCTCGCAAGACCCACTAAACTGACTCGACCTCGGTATCTTATTAGCTCCGGACTCAGCTAGCAGTAGGACCGACAAACGGCAACTGTGGAAGACGATCACACCGGGCCATTGCGTTTCCTCCTTGAATTGAAGCTTTTCACTCCCAGTGCCTCTCTCACACCCACGTCCAACATCTACCCGAAAGAGGAATCAGAGACCGAGATCAGTCAAGATGGACGCAACAGCGGCTGCTGCATCTGTAGCAGCTATTTCCGGGCTAGTAGCCTACATCAACGCGAAATACCACATTGCACAGGACCTGAGGGGACTGAGGTTCAAGAAGAACGCAGCTAGCTACTATGAGCAACTCGGTATGTAGCCCAGCGATACTTTTACTTACGTCGAGACGCAGTCCGGAGCTAAGTCAACATAGAGAAATCTAAGAGGCTATCCCCTTGGTACGCTTTCGCGACTCACGTTCCACTTTACAGCAACAACCTAGCCATCTGGTCGCGGGAGAAAACGTACACATGGCAACAAGTTCACGATGGCGCCGTCCAATGGGGACACTTCTTTCTCGCTCAAGGCGTAAAGCCGGGCGATATGGTCGCTACTTACATGATGAACAGCGCAGACTTCATGGTTATCTGGTTGGGTCTATTTTCCATCGGTGCCGCGCCTGCCCACCTCAACTACAATCTCAAAGGAGAAGGACTGGTGCATTGTCTTAAAGTCGCGGATGTGAAAGTCGTACTTGTTGACGACGAAGAGGGATGTCAAGAACGGTTTGAGGGTGTGAGGACGACCGTGGAAGAGATGGGTGTCACAGCTTTCAGGGTCGATCAAGACCTGACTAACAAGATTCAGCAGCACAGCACTCAAGTACCTGGCGATCAGTACAGAGAGAACGTTAAGGGTTCCGATCCGACATGTCTCTTATACACATCAGGAACGACGGGCTTACCAAAAGGAGGAAAGTTCATGGTAAACCGTTTCCACGAAAGAGGAAATCCGCAAACCCTTGCCTTCGACCAGAAAGCCGGGCCTAACGGAGACCGATGGTATTGCTGCATGCCGCTTTTCCACGGTACAGGTGGCCTATCTGTCTTATCAGCGCTTTCAGGTGGTGTTAGCGTGGCGATAGGACGAAAGTTCTCCGTCAGCACATTCTGGGACGACATCCACGACTCCCAGTCTACGCTTTTCGTTTACGTCGGTGAAGCAGCGCGATATCTGCTTATGGCGCCACCACATCCACGGGAGAGAGACCACCGATTACGCGCCATGTACGGGAACGGTATGCGACCCGACGTCTGGAACCGATTCAAAGAGCGCTTCAACGTCCCTGAAGTAATAGAATTCTTCAACTCGACAGAAGGCGTTCTGGGTATGGTGGTCCACAGCAAAGGGCCTTTTACAGCGACGACAGTAGCGCAGCACGGTGCTATTATCAGGCGAATTCTTCACGACGTATACATACCTGTTCCCATCGACCCGGAAACTGGAGAGCTACTCCGGGACCCCAAGACTGGATTCGTGAGGCGCAATTCGTATAACGAGGGTGGCGAGATCTTGGTCGCTGTACCCAGTGAAGAAGCATTCGCTGGGTATCACAACAACCCAAAGGCTACGGCGAAGAAGTTCGAGAGGAACGTGTTCAAGAAGGGCGATCTGTTCTACCGATCTGGCGATGCACTAAGGCGGGATGACGATGGACGCTGGTTCTTCCTTGACCGACTAGGCGATACATTCCGATGGAAGAGTGAGAACGTGTCTACAGCTGAAGTAGCAGAAGTTCTCGGACAGTACCCCGGTGTGGGTGAGGCTATCGTATACGGTACACTTGTCCCTGGCCATGATGGTCGCGCTGGCTGCGTCGCTCTCCGACTTGCCGATGGCGTAAGTCCCGAGACGTTCGACTGGAAGGCGCTATTGGAGTACTCGAGGAGCAAGCTGCCGAGATACGCAGTACCGGTCTTCTTGCGCTTGGTCAAGGAAGCAAGTAATACGGATAATCAGAAGCAAAATAAGGCGCCGCTGCGGACGGAGGGTATGGAGATTGATAAATTTGGCACTAAGGTTGTGGGTGGTGGTGATGATGTGGTTATGTGGATGAAGCCGGGTGAGGATCGGTATGTGAGGTTTACTATGGGTGATTTGGAGGCTTTGAGGAGTGGGAAGACTTTGCTGTAGATAGGGTCTCTGGATGCGTGGAGTGCAGATGCAGGACGACGAATACGATGGAGGGCAAGGCACCGAGGGAGAGGTGGTAGGAGTGCAATCTCCATTCCAAGGTCTATTCAAGCCATGTATGAATATGAAACAATATCTACAATGAAGTCCTCCCTTAGCCGTGCACCCCGCAGAGGAAAACATCCAACACTTGCCTCCTAGAAGTCCACACCGCTCTACCAATCTCTGCTCTTCGGTTTCTCCTCTGTTTTCTTTTCCTCTTTAACGGGTATAGGGAAAGGCGAAGCCCTCATAACCGCCTGAATGAACTCCACCAACCCATCCATACCCCTAGGCTCATTAAGCCAATGCCCACCCTCCTCAAAGCACTTCCAATCCACGACCCCACCCCACTCCTCAAGTTTCTTCCTAAGCTTCTCCCCATTCCGAACAGGCACAACCTCGTCGTCCTTGCAATGCTGCAAAAGCAACGGCATCTCAAACACACCCCGCTCTCGTCCAGGCACCCCCATGAGAAGAGACAGCTCTTCCGCCAACGGCAACCACCCACACAGCCCCATGAATCCTCCAACGCGAATACCAGAAGTGACCAAAGTAAAAATACCAATAGCGCACCCCTGACTCATCCCCGCTATAATCACATTGCGCAATCCCACAGGCTTCATCTCTTCTTCAAGGACTTCTAGAATCTGCGCGACGCTCTGCCATAGTTCTTCTTTCTGCGACTCGGCGTCTTGGTCGGGCCGTTGTACGGATGTCATGTCGAACCATTGCGGTATTACTTCTCGCTCGGTAACTGCGCAGGATGATGGTGCGTTGGGGAAGACCCATTTTATACTGGGGAAGATGTCGGTGAACTTTCGAATGGAAGAATCCTCGCTTTCGAAGAGCTCCGAGCAGAAGGTCTTGGCGGAGCTGCCGCGGCCGTGGAGGAAGATGATGGTGTGGGTGTGGGGGGCTGTGGGGGCGACGATGTGTGGAGTGGTGACCATATTGAAGGTGGTCGTGTTGAAGGTGGTCATGTTGAAGGTGGTATCGCGATGTAGACACCTGAGTGGTAGTCTGTATCAACGGAGAGTGCAGTGCGCCTTTGACTCAGACCGGGGCTTGGGTTATGGTTCGGGCTGGTGATACAAAAAGTTGATGTTGATCAATGTTTTCCAGTGCGATCTGGTGAGTGCGACTCTCCCATAGCCTCATATCGGGCCGTAGAGTCTGTGCGCATTGTCGTGGTTGTGATGCCTAATCATCGCGCAAGTGAAGGTAGCCATCACGAGATCCCGCCCGTAGCTGCGCCACAACAAAGCTAGGGACTTTGTGTCTATTCCAGGCAAGCGCGGTCGACTGGTCACGATAGTCGCCCCCGAAATTTCGCGACTTGGCTCCCGCAGGACCTTCTCTTACGATAACGGAAACTTGCTCATGCTTAGCAAAGTCGGGCATATGATTGGCTCGTTTGTGGCCAGCAAGGTACCGTCACCATGACCTCCACATCGCGCCGTCCCTGCATGAGTTCAGATGAATGCAATAGCCATGCTTCGCTCTCACCATGATCGGTCTGGTTACACACGCTTAGACAACATGGTAGATCTCGAAAGGCGACTGGTTCGCAAGCTCGGTACGTCGGAACCACCCGTCAGATCCCCACGTTGCGCATCTAACCAACCGCAGATTGCTTTATACTGGTGGGGAGAAGATGCCTTTGACATGACGGCAGTTAATGGTGTTCTAGGTGTATTGCTGCGCTGCATACTTTTTCAACTACCTTGATCGCAGCGCTTTCGCCAATGCCTACGTGTCCGGATTGAAGGAGTCTCTCGGACTCGAGGGCGACCAATACAGCATTCTGCTTGCCATGTTTACTGCGGGCAGCTGTGTTGGTCAAATACCCCATGCCCTCATCCTTCAGAAAGTCGCGCCCCGGTTCTGGCTGCCCTTTACCCTGCTAGTGTGGTCCGGCCTAACGATGTGCTCTGCGGCATGCAAAACCTACGCCCAGCTATGCGTAGTCCGGTTCTTCCAGGGCTTCTTCGAATCAAGTCTCTATAGCGGCACCATCTATATCCTTGGTAGCTGGTATAAGCCTTTGGAAATTGCCAAACGTACAGCCATCTTTACGGCTATTGGGCAGATTGGCAGCATGTTCGCTGGTGTGATGATGACTGCGATGAACGAGAGTCTGCATGGACAGACTTCGCTTCAAGGATGGCAATGGGTGTTTATTATCAGTACGTCCACCTCTTGAGGTAGACCATCGCCACTAATCGCTTTCAGACGGTGCAATGGGAATCCCCTTCGGCATCTTCGGACTCATGTTCTTCCCCAACTTGCCGGAGTCTACAGATGCCCCCTATCTCAGCAAAGAGGAAATTCAGCTAGCAATAGGTCGCCTGCCACCGAAGAAAGATTGGAGCCATGACATCAGTCTCAAATCTCTTGTTAAGAGACTGCTAGCCAAACCGGACATTTACATCTTTACTCTCTACTCAGTAGTAGCCTGCGCATTGGAAGCCATCGTTCTGCAAGGTCTATTCTTGCTCTGGATGAAAGCAAACAGCGAGAAATTCTCCTCGTATGCGACTACGACCTACCCGTTAGGTATACAGGCCGTTTCTATTGTCTCCAACGTTGGGGCCGGCTACGTTATCGACATGACTAATCGCCGCATACCGATGGTTATACTAGCTGGCGCTCTGCAGCTTCTAGTCTCAATCCTGTTGTTGATACCCAATCTTCCGACCGCTGGAACTTTCTTCGCATTCTACTTGGCCGGTACCTCGTACATCGTCAACCCCATTCTCTACGGATGGGCTAGCGTGATCTCTCAACGCAGTGGTGATGACGCTTCTCGATCGGTCACGCTGTACATCATGAGTATGGTGCAGTCGATATTGTACACTTTTTGGGGTATTGCACTCTATCCAGCAAGCGATGCGCCGTACTGGAAGAAAGGGTATATCGCGATGATCGTGGTCGTCTTTGCGTTCTTTGGCGTGACTGCGGCTGTTCATTGGGTGAGTATTACGGTAATCCTATCGCAGTCATTTACTGACATATCTGTAGTTGGATCAAAGATCTCAGAAGATTGAGAGTAACGCGTCCGAGGAGATCACACAGATGAGTGAAAGAATGAGCGAGAGGAATAGAAAGGATCCAAGACTGGAAGATTGAGATAAGACATATCACGAGAGCACCGAACTACATGCGAAGTGCCACGCAGTGGAGTTTAAAAGCTTGCTTGAGTAGCGACCGAACACCTGGCATGTCATTCCTCCATCGCTCATGCTTCCATGCGGATACCTCACCGCGACAGATTCTAAGTATCAAGGCGTCCTCTCACTTAGTCTCAGAGCCTATCCCTCTCGGTAGTAATGGCCCAGATTCAATCAATACAACCACCCTGTCTGCTCAAAGGCGACACCTTCTCGACATGACCTTCCATTGCTGCATTGGACGACGTAGCTACTCGCACAGCTGATTGCACAGGCAAAGAAGGCGACGTTGCAAGGTAGTCGCAGTCGCCTTCCTCGCTTTCCTCATCAAACGGTACAATTGTCGCCGCGGTACTCAAATTCAAATGGCGTATAGTCGGGAAACAAGTAACCAATCCCGTCATAGACATCAGTCATGTTGGCCAAGTCACCGTGAACAGGGACTAGACTGCGTACCGAGAATTAGTGACCACGTTTCGAAAGCGTAGCTCGAGAACTTACACCGCTGACTTCGCTACCCGGTGCTTCACCATAGCGTTAACCAGTTGAGCAATCTCGTTATGGTCATTGTGTGTTGCCATCAACTGCGCTTGGGTGACATGATCGGCATCAAACACAACGACTGTGCTGTCCTCAGTGGGGCAAGCAGGCATGATGACGGCGACACTATGGTCTTGGGCATGAATGCTGCCTTCAATGTGGATGAACGTGGCCCTGAAACCGTTGGTCTCCATGATGTGTGGCGCTCCGCGTCTGAAGTAGATTAGCGCTTGGTCTGGTGACAAGCGTAGATAACAACGTACTCAAAGGTTTCGAACTTGGCGCCGGGGATATCGGCGTAGTACGACTCAGCCATCTTAGGACAGACGATTTCCGCTCCGTTCTGGACGTAGCCCTTGACACCGAAAGCGTGGTCGTGATGATGATGCGTAGGCTATGCAATGTTAGTAAAGCTCATCAGAGTAGTAATTAGGCGGATTAAGATCGCTGACTTACCCACACCTGCGACACTGGCTTTCCAATGTTGATCCTGACCCATTCGAGCAAGACCGCCACGATTTCAGCAGGAGCATCCAGAACAGCAACATAGGTGTCAGTTTCAAGCAGGATCTGGCGGTACGCGGATACACCAGGTGGTCGGACGACCCAAACGCCGGGTAGATCTGCGTACGGTTGCGATCCACTGAGCGAATCGACTGTGAAGTTGTTCCGACCGAACCAGATGTAATTCGTGTACTTCTCACCGATCTCAGCAGTCAGGGCAGGGTCAACGACGGGAATGCTCAGTTCGCCGCGTTCGACGGAGACATCGAAGAACGATGGCTCGACTTCAGTGTTGACCGATATGTCATCTGCAAGGAAGTCGATGCATAAGCGCTGGTTGTTGTATATGGTCTTGTAATGACGGGGTATCATGAGGCCGTTAACCGAGATAAAGTCGTATACTCGGAGATCGTTCGTCGAAGGACCGAAAAAGGGATGGTCTTCGTATGTGCGGATAGCGAAGGGTAGGTAAGTGTCGGGGTTGAAGATGATTGACATGTTCAGTACTTGGTCAAACACTAACGGCCGAGTTAGAAAGGTTGTGAAAAGCAAAGTAGGTGATGACCAACCTGCTGGAAGTAGTAAGTCTCCTTCCACCGGCTCGAAACGGAGGGTGGATTCATTTGCAGATATCTTGCTGAGCAGCAACGGATCCCACTTTTGACCGTCGGAGATCATATACGCCGCGAGATACCCTGTTGATCGTCAGACTTTGATACAAATATCTCAGTGGACGTAGTACCATCCAAGTAGCCTTCTGGAGCAGCCGTCGGGTCAAAAAGCGCATAGCTTCCCCTGACCACAGCAGCAAACGCGTCATCACCACCTTGTACTACTACAGAGTAGTCCATAGGTTCGAGTTCCGGTCGGGCAAACATCCAAAGAGCTAGGATCTCAAAGTCAGCTTCCCATCAAACGGTATCAAGAGAGAAGACCTACTCCCTAAGCCAGAAACCTTGTCAATGCGCTGCTTCAGACTGCCTGTCTCGTACGAATACGTGATCGTCTGGCTACCATATGGGACGACTGTTTGGTCCATGCCATCCAGGGCTATCGTTGTGACGATAGACTTGGTGCGGAATTGAGAGCCACTGATCCTCACATTGCGCACATCGGACGTGTTGGAGTTGATGCCAATGGCTGCGAGACCACGCTGTACAAGATCTGTAGGTACCTCGGACTGACTTGTTCGCAAAGCCAACGAGCTGGATGACAGGAAGCCCACCACCAGAGCTGAAAATGCTCGGGTTGCTAGCATTGTGTTTGAGGTGTTTGAACGAGAAACCTGACCGAGATTGGTGGCACAAGCAGGAGATTGAGAAGAGATGTGATGGACACAAAGGATGTCATTGCAACGATCTATATACTGAGCTATCTCTCTGTACGCGTAGCCACTTTCTCCAACAGACTTTCATGCTACTCTTCGTCTCGCGTCTTGCGTCGATGAGGCGGACGAACTTTCTCCTCGTTCGCGCAGGCCTTGACCAATGCCGAGCAAACGCAGTGGATCGCGATTACTTATGATACGAGCGTGGCTCATTCGATGAACCGCGCGTGATGTAGTATTTCGTACTCTGGTGGTAAATCCGGGGTCTCTGGTCGTGGAGTAGAGTTTGAAAGTCAACAAGTCGACTTTGGGACAGTCTGCTTACGAAGTCGGGGACGGCAACACCCGTAGTCGCAAGTCTAGTGTTACCAAATCTGTCGACAGACTCCAGAAACGGTAATGTAGCGTACCCAGTTAGCAGTACGGAACGGAAGTACGTTCGTCTTAGCGGTGCCGGTAAACGGGCCGACTAGATCCAAACATGACCTTGAAAGATGGTTAAGTCCGCAGCGAACACCGATAGAAGCCAAGACGACCTCTTGCAATTTCGGACGAGTTCTACGGCAGCGGACGAATGTAGTCGAACTGTGTTGACATATCAGCTTGGCATCACGCGTCGTGCAATAGGTCATGGACTGAGTAAAGTACGTGTCTGTGTTGAGAATACCCTGATTGCCTTCCCACCCCACACATCTTCATACGACCAAGCTACTTCACAACTCTTGCAGCCATCACCCTGAAGCCATGTCGCAGCTATCTCTCGAAAAAGACCTGTCGCACGCTAAACTGGATGAGATCTCAGCCTTTTGGTTTCGTCATCTCCAAGACCACGACCACATCATCAGCCCTAGCATCGAGGACTCGGCGCCATGGTTCTCACAGAATGATGCTTACGACCAGGAATGTATGTAAGTACTCAGCTTATCCTAGATACTTTCCCGCGAACAAAAGCTTACTTAGCCACAGGGATAAATTTGGCGCATTGCTCGAACTCATTCAGGTCGTAGAACCAAACGGAGCGGAAATCATAGCAGCAGCAAAGCCATGCAAGCCTATGCACTGGATCAGTCTGATCATATTGCTTGACCAACTCCCAAGAAACTGCTTCCGAGGTGCTCAAGCTCGTGTAGCCTTCACCGTTTTCGATAGTCTGGCTTTGGCAGTGGCCTCCAAAGCAATTGACTCCGGTGTTCCTAAGGATTCAGAAGTTCGCTTCCGACTGGCATACAGATTCTGGTTTTACATGCCGATGGAACATTGCGAGAGTCTGGAAGTAGCGGAATTGTTACACAAAGCACACTTTGACATGTTCCATGACTATGAGAGGCTGCTAGAGAGGGATGTCGAGGGATGGGACGGTGAATTTGCCCAGCATCGCGCCGTGCTTCTCAAACGAAGGAGTGATTTTAGGAAACTGAAGGATGTTATCACTAGCATCTGTGATAGTAAGCTGGACGCACTTCGTCGGTTTGGGCGCTTCCCGCAGCGGAATGAGGTGTTGGGCCGCACTTCCACAGCCGAGGAGCTGCAATTCTTGAATGAAAAGTGATTGTCGGAGATAGATGACGGGGTCGGACTCAATCAATCCCTGTAAAAAAGTTCATTAGAATGCTGCCATGTGTTGTTCATCTGTGCCATCAATTATGCATGAAGTCTCACGTCGTGATGATAAACGTGATAGAGCATTATTGACATTTGTTCCATGCAAGCCAAGTAATTGAGAACCGAACTTTGATGTTGACAGCGTCCCGCCATGGACTTATCGACAAAAGGTACAGTGAAAGCATCAGCGTTCTACTCATCGGATCCGGCAAGTTGCTATCTAGGTAGAATGACAGTTTTGCTTACTGCTTGACGCTGACAGCCGACAGAAACATGAGGACTTGATGGAAACATCAGCGGAGGCCACGGCAACGTCACGCTGGAGGCGTATGCTCTTGGCTTTTTCTTGCTTCCCATTCTGCATGAAACATTCATAAAGACCATGCAGTCCCCAAACGTTGTTGATGCGCGCTTTCCGACGAGGCTGGCTGTCGCTGAACCCCAAGTCTTCTAGATAAAGCAGTTCGGCTTCCTCAGACTGGCCTTGCTCAAGAAGGAGTGCGCTCAGAGCGTGGCGAACGGGCTGCATCCATAAGGGCGGATCAGCGTAGGCAAGGTTATCCTCCAACTTAATGCCGTGTCGCAAGAGGGAGAATGCCTGAGAGTGATTGCCCTTGCGATACCACAACTCGCCCTCCAGCATGGCCGATGCTACAGCTAGAATGGGTTCTGCTGGCGAGGAGGGACTGTACATACGGTCCTCCGGTACAGACTGACGAGTCTTTTCGAAAGCGTCTCTTGCCTGATGTGCCTCTTCGATCCTTCCAAGTACTGCGAAAGCGATCCCTTTGGCATAATGGATTGTCGCTTTGTAGACGCAGAGTAGATCCGGATCTACTGGCTCCGGGAGTTCGAGAATCTCGTCCCAGCGACCAAATCTAATCAACACGTGAGGCAGCGTTACGAGTTGCCACTCGGTCCAGTCTACCATTCGTGGCGTTTTGATCGACATGAACTCCAGAGTCAATACTTCAGACATCCGTGTCGCAGCATAGAGAGCGTCCCGAGACCGACCAGACATCATGGCAGAGTAGGCCATAGCGTGGATGTTATGCGATCGATACGCGTTGTAGATGAGAGCTGCTTTGGCCCCACTCCCGAAGTATTTGTCGTCCGCACGTATAGCGTCAAAGTTCGAATCGAAAGAGCGACGGTAGTCGCCACAGGCCGTGTCGATGTGTGTGGCCATGTGTTGCATGTGAGAGCCATCAGGTACAAGTCGTCGCAGACTGTCAGCCGCGGGCAAAGCCACTTCTGGGAAAGGCGACATCTCCATCATGTGGATGTACAGATGACACAGACCCGGGTGTTTGAGACCATCGGAACGTGCCAAGCCTCTCTCCAGAGCGGCTCTTGCCTCGTCCACATCTGTGCCTGTAGTCTTCCCGGTGTTGAGGTCCCAGAGCTGACGCGGACGAGTGCACATGACGGCATCGGCGAATAGTGCGACCACGTCGAGATCCTCCCCGTACTCTTCGTAGACCGAGCGCATAGCTTTTGCATAGGCGTAATTGAACGCCGATAGGTCGTTTGGAACATCTGTGTTACTCTTTGGGAAGCGAGCATTGAGGGCCGTGATGAGTGCTTTCTCCACGGGCGAGGCAGCGGCCGCGACGTCATTGGCTTGCGACAAGGCGCGAAGTATCTTTTCGATGGAATTTGTGCGATCTTCCGGTGTGAACATGCGCCATGACTTGTTGTAGTTCGGGCCAACAGCGTAAGCAATACCCCAGTGGGCTAATGCGCAACTCGCATCATGTACAGTCGCCGCCTCAAAACACTGCATGGCTGCTTCATGGTTGAATGAGTAGCACCACACAAGACCACGGGCGAACCATGCTTGCGCTTCGTGAGATGTCGTTTGAGCATCTCGTCTGTATTCCCCTAGATCGTAATATGGGGCCTCACCGTTCGAGGCATGGCCATTCCTGTTCTGGTTAGCAATGGTAGCTAAATCTGGAAAAGGGAGGCTTACTCCATTGCTTGATGTGGTAGTAAAAGTTGTAGTAGGATCGTATCCGGGAGTCTGGGAGTGATGTCGCTTTTGATCAGTTGCCGGTGGATAGCTATCACTTTCTTGGTACGAGCGCGCTCTCATCAGCGTTTTGTGTCTGTCGCGCGAGAGAAAAACCACACCTTGATATAAACTGTATAATCGTTGTCCTTCGCCGACGTTGGCGCTTGTGCCGAGGTCTAGCTTGCTTTAGTCGGCGTTTACCTAACAGACATCTCCAGGGCTCGGGGACTCTCTAGAACCCCGCCCTACTGCGCTAGGTCTTCTGCCCGAGATAGCACCTTGATTTAGCAGCTGAGATTTTATGACGTAGGCGATTTCCAGCTGTCATCCAGACAGGGCCGCGAGAGATGTGACGGAACGGAAGTATGGCCCCTGCCGTCCCGTCGCACGACTAGCGTACCGGACTTATCGTGGCACTCTTAACTTGAGGCTGACTGAGTCATGGCCGAAAACGCGAACCTGTTGATGCCATGCTTTGCAATCCGGACGAATCTAGGATGACTAGGTATCTGCGCACGTTTGGTTGACTTCACCTAGTCTTCGATGTCGAGATGATGTATATAGTTATCGCCACAGCCTGCTTCTCAGAACCAGAAAAGACCACATCAAGCCACCAAAACAACAGGATCGCCTACACCACCACCACATTCTCAAACTATACTCTCCATAAGATCGACACCAAGCACACCAATCATGTCCAGCAAGATCACGAATGTCGCAATTGCAGGTGTAAGTTCATAGCTACGAGTACCAGGAGAAGGCGGTCTACTGACATTGCTCAGGCGACCGGCAGTCTTGGGTCTGAGGTCTTGAAGGGTCTTCTTGAAGCCAAGTTCAATGTTACCGTCATTGCTCGGAAGGAGGGGCAGAAGTTTCCTGCTGGCGTGTCAGTCAAGGTCGTCGACACTAACTCTGCCGCGGCGATTGCCGAAGCCCTTCGCGGTCACGATGCTATCGTGGATACGACATCTGGGCCCGATCCGACCCTCCAGGGACGAATCATCGAAGCTGCTGTCTCCGCGGGAGTCTATCGTATAGTAATGGGCGAGTTCAGCGTTGACCCTGAGGACCCCGTAGCGAGATCGCCGCTCTTTCACCACGGGAAGAACCAGGCTTATCAGCACATCAAGGACCTGGCCGCGAAAGGCAAGATCACATACACTACCATATCCAATGGAGCTTTCCTTGATTGGAACCTGCGGACTGGATTCATCAACATCGACATTCGGAGCAAAAAGGTTCAATACATGAACGATGGAATGATTCCGATGGCTTGGACGATGCTTTCTTCGATCAGTACTGCCGTCGCCAACGTACTAAAGAAGGCTGAGGAGACCGAGAACCGCTCCTTCTACATCTCGAGCGTGATCAAGAGTCAAAAGCAGATGGTGGCACTGGCGAAGGAGACCCTGGGCAGCGATGGCTGGGAAGAGTCGAGCCAAGACATGGATCGAAAGCTCAAGGCCGCGACTGAGGCCATGATGGCGGGAAAGATCGACATGGAGGTCATCGGTGATATGATTCGATGGTCTGCAGGAACAGTCCCTGCGCTACGCTGGGAGCAGTTGGATGACAACAAGTTGTTGGGAGTGGAACGAATGAACGACGATGAAGTACGCAGGCTCATTCGAGACATCGCCTCGGAAAGTAAGTAGTTGTCTAAGCTGATGCCGGTGAATATGGAGATTAGTGATCGACTCGTAGACTTGTAAAATGCATGATCACGAGCGAACGCTTCATACGTATATTTCTGATGGAGTTTGCGCTGCAGTATGTGTGCAGAAATTTGATGAGTAACATTCATTCCAGCGCCGAGCGCAGATGCCATGACCAAGGTATCGCCAATGACGATCATTGCCTTGAAGACGAACTTGAACAGGATCGATTCGCACGACTAAGATGATCATTCTCTGTTCCGACAGCGCATGCATAATCACAATCTCGCAAAGTCAAGAACCGTCCGATATCGGGTGATTCTTCAGAGTCACTGGTATGTGAAACTGACCATCATCAGCCCGGATGAGCGGGTTCACGGCGATTACCGCGTTTCCTGACAGGACTCCTCGCGCGTGCAAGGTGCTCAAGCGCTGGAAAGAGCGCAAAAGTCTTCATGATTCGAAAATCCGGACGATGTATCCTGATGGAGTCGTTATATGGAGATCGGTGTCTTAACAAGGAGTGATCTATAGAAGCTTGACGGTCCTGCAGGTAATGTGTTTGGATTTGACCATGGCAATCATGGCCCATATCAACGCTTTGCATGAACGGGGAGGCTGGAGCACTGACTTGTAAGCCCATCGAGTGACCCATTGAGATATACAAACACCTTTACTTATGTTGAGTGGCTATAATATCGATGATGCTGGCGCCGCAGGGTGTCCTTCTTGGACGTGGACCAGGGCCCCGGACTCGACGATGTTTTGTCGATGCGTATGGTCGTGCGATGCGTGCTGATTCGGCTTGATACACGAAAGCCTTCCCGGGCTTATCCGGACAGTGGCTGGGGGGTTTGTCGACTGTTTCCAATACTGGATGGGACATGAAGAAACTATGCAATGGGTAGGGGCCACTCGCCCTGTTGCAAATTCTCAATTCGCCGCAGACACGGATGTAAAGGCAGCCCAGACGATGGTGAGTCCCTCTGCAGCTTGGCCTGGCATCGGGCGCATATTGTAGTGATGTGTCAAGGGAGAAGACGCGACTTTGAAGGCAAACCCGACGAGGCGAGGTGCATAGTCGTGACGCGCATGTGGGGCCGGACGGAAGGCCTCAGGCCTCGAAAACAACGGGGGCTTGGCGTGACAGGCGCTAGCTCAACTCGCCATGGGCGGCTTCCAAGTTTCCTTCATCCTGCACGATCTTAACAGTACCTGCAGCAGAGGAGCGTGGGCGACCTCTTTTACGCGACTAGCTTCATAGTAGGCTTCGGCAATCCCAGTATATCTCATCTCCATATGCAGTCGGTACATCTCGGCTACCTCTTCAGCCGCCCATCGCCATGGGTCTCGTCAATGCCCAAGGCATGAAACATTGCACGTCGCTTGTGCATCTGGACAGCCTCATCCCCACCCACTGAGGCAGCAAACGCTTGCCTGCACACGGTCGCGTTCGCGCATCGTCTCCACTTCGCGATGAGTTCCCAGCCATGTCGATCTGCCGAATCTGGTTAGTCGGGTTTCAGGTTTTCGTTCTGCATTGACGCTCGAACGTTCTGAGTCTCGGATGAAGCCTCAGGCCCTTCCCGCTCCTTTACAGCTGCACGCATTTGAGTAATGTACCTTGATCTCGACCACGCGACGGAGCCTTATCAACGGCAATTATCAATTGATCATGATACCCTAGTAGCGCCATTAGAAATGTTTGTGGGTAGAATTCACATCGAGCGAATGGGATCAAGGTAAACGATCAGGCCTCACGTCGCCTCCAAAGATTAAGGACATACGGTTACATCACATCTGTGCCCGGCCCGTTACCGTAACGGCTTTTGAATCTGCTAGCCATGGGTCTGTCTGTACATGGGAAGAAGACAGGGTAAAAGGTGTGATCGTCATCTAATGTGGGTTAAGAATGGAGTTATCGTCTTCTCCAGCTTCGTTGGTGATCACGTCGATCGTTCACCATTGAGAGCTGGACTCTGACTCTGTCGTTACCTTCATATCTAGTGGCGCAGGCTTTCGTCCATTCGTCGTTGTTCTCCTTCTACTTCTTCGTCTTGGGTTACTTCCACTCGCGTTACTCATTTCGCAATCCACAGCCTTTCAACACCAACAGATAGGAGGCTTTCACAATCATGGCGCAGGTTACGCCCCGTTCGATACTGGCACTTCAGCTTCCAGACCCTCGATTCAGCGTTGACTTTGCGAACTACGCACTCGACCCCAAAGCATATGCTACAACCAAAAAGTACATGCAGGACTTGTTCCCCGGTCAGAACAAGCCGTTACCACCACCAAAGGCTGCATCATCGCGTCATGGCAATGTGAACGCAAAGCCTCGACGCGTCATGGCAAAAGAGCCGACACCTTCCTCAGCGGCATCGCAAAGTCTTGACGACAAGTGGGATGCGCACACAATAGAGTGTATGATAATGCTCGACGAATCACTCGTCGACGAATCGGATCGATCTTCAGCCTTATCGAACTCAACAGCAGAGTCTTACGCCACCAACGTTACTTCCACCAGCGCTTTGGGTAGTACAGCGCCTACAACAAAAGCTACCAGCGGTCTCCCAGAGTCGACGCGTTCCTTTCTTCAACTTCCCCAGGCAATAGTCAATCACATATTGTCATACGTTTTCGCTGAAGAACGCGCGGTCTCCATCACACCATACCAGTCGCGTATCACACCCCAGCCACGACGCCGGCACCGCCATGGCCCGAGCACCATCGACATCCGATCTTTCATGATGCATCCGGCACTGATGGTGTCTAAGCAGGCCCGCGAGCTCGGACTAGACATCCTCTATCGCGACAGCCTCTTTCTCATTGATCTGTCTGACATCGGTGGTGCCAGCGTCGGTGCCGAGAAGGACATTGGCAAGTACTGGGGATGCTGGACGAGCAGTACGCCACCTCACATGGTCAAGTCGGCACTCTCCCGTGCTGCGAACATCCGTATCCAGCTCCCAGTCCCTAGCGCAGAAGCTACAGTTGTACGCAGCGCAACTAAGAGGAAGAAGGATGCACAGGAAGACACTTCCATCGTGATCGATTCTCTACGCACAGTGACCACCCTCATTACTGGTCAGGACAGTACCCCAATTCAACCAACAGAACGCAGTCGCTCGGCAAGTCCAGCGGGGCCGAAGATCCTCCGTCGCAAGCTCAGCTTCCGATCTGCGAAGCGTCCTGACTCATTGGAGTTTGTTTGCCGCGGAGACTCACCTCCACCCCAACCGAGAGAACCCTTAAGCACGCTAGAGGTTGTACTCGTGAAGGCTAATGCAGACGCCGAAGTGCACAGCCAAACGCTGGACATGGTAGCAATATGCAGTAGCATTCCAGTCTCCGGCGCTCTAGAGTATCATCTTGAGCTTGACGCGATGAGGAGGCTGTGGGCTAAGCGTGACAATGGACAATGGCGAGGAAGTGAGCCAGATGGTCACAAACTCCTGCATGGTATGTCGCAGTCTACTCCCATCACCTCGACCCAACACTGACTTGTAACAGATCTGAGGGCTCTAGGACATTCAGCGGCGAAAGCAGAAGTCTCGCAACCTCGTGGACAGCTCAGACAGACGCACGACCAGCCTACTGCACGTGCAGATGTACTCCATAGAGATAGGGCACGCCCTGCCCAGCAACCAACCAGCGGCAGACCCAGCTTAGAGGGGCACCTTCAGCAACGAGGTATTCCGAAAACACGGCCTGCTAAAAATGGCCTTGTTGCAAGGAAGATCAAAGAGATGGAGAGCCTTTCCAAGATCAAACTGTTGAAAGGCAACAAGCAGCCGCCAACTGTTGAGGAGCTTCAACAAATCGCCTCTGACATCAGGAGAGGCGTCTACTAAAAGTTTCATCGAGGCCTGGGGCCGACAGAGCCCGGCGCTCAATCATGTCATGTACTTACTTTTCTTCTGTCATATCTAAGTTTAATGTCTATAGTCTATCCACACTCAAACATGTCCATAACTTCAGATGTGCTTGGTAGACTAGGCTTTTCCGTCCGAGAATTGGACAACAGCCCACTTGCCACTCCAAGCCCACTTTCTCGCCCCACTGTCTCCGCCGCCCCCCTCTGATGCTTTTATGCGCTCGTCTTCTCCGTCCTTTAATCCGACGACGACGTCGGCTTTGCACGTGCGGAGCGCGAGGACTCGTAGACCTGAGCCAGGGCCCATTGGTCCAATGGCTTCGGTGAAGGGTGTGGTAGGAGTCCAAGCAGCCTAGTGTTGGTCAGTAATGCGAGGAACAAATGTGGAAGAGGGCACTCACATCAGCGGTTAGCTTGCGATAGTTGAGATCGCCCTTGAAGATGACGAGTTCGCTCTCCTTGAGATCCTCGTACAAGTCCGGCTCGCTCTTGGGAAGTCGCCAGTAGCTGCCGCCAGCAGTCCAGAAGTCGTTTGGTCGCATCATCAATTGGCCTTCTGCGTGGAGACCACTCCAATGCTGGAAGAGGAATTGCAGATTCGCGCTCTCTGTCTCAGACAGCGGTACGGACTGCTTGCCAGCGTGCTTCTCGTCTTCCGATAGCGCGCTGTAGAAGCTCTGTGGGTCGGCTAGTGCCATGAGGAGTGCACCGAAATCGGCTGGCAGAACGTCTGAAACGAACCATGGGATGTTCTTGGGGTGGAACACGACGTTCGTCGCCAGGCCAGAAGCGATCAGATATCCAGCGAGAATAAGGTCGACGAAGAGCTCGAATCCAGCGTTGTCAAGCACAATGTCGACGCGACGTTCCTTCTTGCCCTCCTTCTGAGCCCGCGTGAGAACCTCGAACGCCTTGTCTAGGTCGTTCACCAGAATGTTCTTCTCGGAGTTCTTGCGCGCCTCAGAGCCCTGCAACTTCTGGATATCCTCGTATGACAGGTTGGTCAACAAAGACAGATCCGTCGCATTGCCCCAAAGACAGATCTCGCACATCTCTGTGAACAGGACCTTCTCGGCGGCCTCGAGCTGCTCCTGCGACTCTGCGCCCTTGATTGTCTTCTTCTGTTCGAGCTCGGTGACGATGTCTTTGTAGCGCGCGGCGAGTTCGACGACAGCGGGGCGGGAGGATTTGAAGGTTTCCATCTTCTGGCGAGCGAAGATGTCGTACGAGCGCCATTTGGTGGTCTGCTTAAAGATGCTTGCGATGCGTCTGCCTATGGCCATTAGCACGCACCATTGAGCGACTCAGGCCTACATACCTGTACAGATAGCACTCGGCGTATAGCCAAGACACATTGTGCCACTTGGGGTTGCCTCTCGCCGCTAATTCCTTGTTGTATGCATCGACATCGCGTTCGCCATCATCGGGGATCGGAGTGAGCTCGCGGTCGTGCTGGAGCTCGTACTTCAGCTTGGCAAGCTCTGCAACGACCTGTTTGCCTTCTGTGATGGCCGTCTCGTCTTTGGTGTCGTGCAGGGAGCGGTGCACGTCGTCAATGCCTTGGGTGATGATGATGGGCCATCGCGAGCGCGCCGAAGTGTGGGCAAACGACGTCGCGTCGTTGGTGCTGTACTGCGCTGGTGCTGATTAGTCATGAATCGACTTGTATAGGCGCGCGTATACTCACGTGCTGTGAAAGTGTCGTACTCCATGTTGCTGCTCAATTGTGGTGTGGGGGTAAGATACTCTCAGTCACGACTTTCAACATGACGACGTTTGCAGGGGTCCGGGAGCGAAAACGTCGCCAAGCATTCTGGCTACCCCTCCACGTGCTCAACCGTTATCCCCACTACAGCACCTCCCACCAAGTGCAAGTACGACACTACCAAATGCCTCGTGTTCTATGATTTTATTCGCGAAGGTCATCACATACTGCATGCCATGCTTCACATCCCGCATCTACTGACACCGAGTACCTCACATACTAAGACTCCTGACGGCCAAGTGGAGAGTATGGACGCTGATGCAAGCAGGCAGGGCGGACCTAAACCATGGCTTGACTAAGGTACATGTCCCAGCCCTAGCTATGAAGTTTGGACAGTATTTGGAAGCCATCGCATTCCAAGTGAGGCTCCGGGGTTGGGACGCAGGGTCCGTGAAGTCTCGACGAATCGGACATGTGGAGTGACATGCTGGTTAACCATGACGTGTTTTCCCAGGCACTCTCGTGTCGCCGCTACCTGCGCGTCTATAAACGGTATTCCGAAGTTACCTTTGCAGGAACGTATTGCCAGTTTGCTAGCAGCTCGATGCGATTTCACTTTCACATCTCGACGCACTTCGTACGCATCCACATGCGCTAGCTCATGAAAATCTACCGCTCAATCCTCAGTATCGGTGTTCGCAGCACCATCACCTCCAGACCTCTGCGCACCTCCTTCCAATTCGCACGTACAATGGCGACAACACCGAACGGAGATCTGAATAATACCTCGGCCGAACGTGCACGAACTGAACTCGACATTGATCCCGCGTATCAAGGTCGCTCATTGGCGATACCACCTTCTGAAGACGATGTGGAAGTTCGAAATGCTTACCGGCCATTCATACTCGAAGGGAAAGATGCTGAGGACGATTGGGTGGCTCAATTAGAACTCAGCACTGCACTGAAGATGGTGGACACGCAATTGCTCCAACGCGGAGACGAGAGGCTTAAGGTGGTAGTCCTGCACGGAAGCATGCGATCAAGGTACGAATCTGTCAGCAAGATGTGCCATGGGTGCTGTCAGGGAAAAACACTGACACATGGCAGATCTTACTCGCGCTTGCTGTCGTACGAGGCGAGTCGAATACTTTTCCGCCTTGGCTGCGACGTTCGCATGTACGACCCCACTGGCCTACCTGTCAAGGACGATGTACAACACACACATCCCAAAGTGCAAGAGTTACGCGAACTGAGTAAGTGGAGCGATGGGCATATATGGATATGTCCTGAGCAGCATGGGACTCTCGTAAGTTGACGTCCTGAAACTCCACATGCTTGGTGAATGTCATACTGATAGACTTCTTCTTTCAGACGGCCGTTTTCAAGAACCAGATCGATTGGATACCACTCTCCACCGGCTCTGTTCGTCCGACCCAGGGCCGTACCCTCGGAATCGCACAAGTGAACGGCGGTTCGCAGTCCTTCAACACGGTCAACGCCCTGCGAATACTTGGTCGATGGATGCGCATGTTCGTCATACCGAACCAGAGCTCCATACCCATGGCATATAAGCAGTTCACAGAGGAGGATGCCGGCAGCAGGCTGATGCCCAGCGGAAACAGGGATCGACTTGTCGACTGCATGGAGGAGTTCGTCAAATACACCATTGTGATGCGCCCTCATTTCGATCTCTTCGGCGACAGGTTCAGTGAGAGAGAAGAGAAGCGGGCGAAACAAGCGAAGGAAGCTAACAAGCCAGCCCCAGACACGCAGCATGCGGCCTTGTCAACCAACGCGGGGCCTTCGAATTAATCCGAACCTCATTTGAATGCAAGAACAGCATTGCCTCAAAAGAATAGGAGTCTGGCATACAGTGTGGTAGTATAGCGTAGGTTCTGAATGTATCACCAGCCCTCGACCGGTTCTGGACTAGTGCTGTCGATCATCCGTGAGTGGTGACACCCCGCAAATGCAAGTGACATATCTGCTACGTGCGTATATAGTGGCGTCGGTTGTAGCGAAAGATACCGTGCTCCTGATTGCATGCCGCAAAGATGACGAAACAAGACAGCATTCCCCGACAGCACAGCGAGGTGTCACCGCCACTGACGCTCGATGAGGTAATCGAAGGAGAGAATACCACCATTGCAGAGCATACGCCCCCCGATGGTGGCTACGGCTGGGTTTGTGTAGCAGCGTGCTTTACGATAAACTGCTTCACATGGGGTACCGTATCTGTGAGTCAAGGTCGCTTATTGGAAGAGACTTTCTTTCCACTGTGCATCACATTGACAACCTTCAGGCCTATGGCATTTATCTATCGCACTACCTAGCCGACGACATCTTCCCCGAAGCCTCTGCCTGGGACTATGCGTTCATCGGTGGCTTCAACTTTGCCATTGCTATGCTCGTGGCACCCTTCGTGACAGTCTTCTGTCGCAGATCCGGAACCCATGTTGTCATGTGCTGCGGCCTGGTCTTGCAGCTCGGTGGCTTCATTGCTGCCTCATTTGCAACTCAAATCTGGCAGCTTCACCTCTCGCAGGGAATCTTAATCGGCAGCGGGATTGGCTTCTTATACATCCCCTGCCTTCCAGTCCTGTCGCAATGGTTTGATCGAAAACGAAGCCTGGCCAACGGGATTAGTGCAGCAGGGTCTGGGGTCGGCGGCGCAGCTTTCACTTGGGGCACCGAGGCCATCATCCAAAGATTCAGCATTGGTTGGGCGTTGCGCATCACGGGCATCATCGCTTTCGTGGCCAATCTTACTGCAACGGTCTTCATACGCGACAGGAACAAGGCCATTCGGCCATCCCAACTAGGCTTCGATACCAAACTTCTGCGGCGCTACGAAGTGGTATTGCTGCTTGCATGGGTCTTCATCAGCATGCTGGGATACATCGTCCTCCTCTTTTCACTCTCCGATTTTGCACTATCGATAGGCCTCTCGCGATCCCAAGCTACAGACATTATAGGTCTTCTGAATGTCGGAACTGCGATCGGGCGTCCAATCATCGGTATACTGAGTGATAGATGGAGCAGGATAGATACGGCTGGAGCGTTGACTCTACTGTGCGGTGTCTCGTGCTTTGCATTCTGGCTGCCTGCTACATCCTATGCACTAACAGTCTTCTTTGCCATCCTCTGCGGCGCGATCGTTGGTGTATTTTGGATGGTAAGTCAAGTTCGTAACCGAGAAGTACTCCAGACAGCTCTTCTGACAAAACGTTCGACCAGACAATTGGCCCGCTCTGCGTGGAAGTCGCGGGCAT